CTTTGCTCTATTCGAACAAAAACGAGTTAGGCCGTCCACGGATTCCAATACTAATCTTTCTCATAAGCAGACAACTATTTTACCGCCTACGCTGCCTTAACTAAATTAGAGTCAGGAGGAAGAATATATTTAGGCGAAAACTTTCGAGATTTCCAGAACTTTCTAAATTTATGAAATTAAAGTTCTTGGTCAATACATTAAAATGAACCTTAATGTAAATATTATAGTACAGGGAATGTATTTAATTGAGTCCTTCCCCTCTCTGCTGTCGCAACTTCGTGGCAACCATCGCATATTCTGCTCCTAACATACAGACGCGAAAGTTGAACAATTGCTACTACAGTGGAGAAAAAAGAGAACGGGCGACGCGAGAGTAAGAAGACCTCGAAAATCCCCTAATTTACATCGCCTAGTAAAACATACGAGATGTTAAGAGCTTTCATAAATGTAAAAATTAAAAGATTTAAAATGGCGCTTATTTTATGTGATTTCCTGCATTGTGGTCCACCGTCGCAAAAATTAAAAGAAAAAATTGGAAGCAGTTTTGACAAAATCTTATTAAGGTACCAAGAAAGTCTCTCCGCATCGAGTCGAATAAGCACATTTTCAAATAGCATTTATGTTAATAGCAACCAGACCACTGGAAACGAGTGAACACTTTCAGAATCTGTTATGATTGTGCTGAGTACGCAATTTACGTTGTCATTTGTTATAAACTGCAGTTCGTGCTACCAACGTAATTTCTCTCGCAGCCTAAGCACTCTCACTAGCCATTGGCGCCACTGCGGAGACTTTCCTAGCACACTGTCTTCTTGGTTGCCCTGCTTAGAAACATAGAAAGAAATCTCTAGCATCAGTAAAGGAGTAGGACAAGTTCGAAGAAAAGTTTCGCCATTTTCAATGGCTTTTCAGAAAATTGAACTTTACCATATTCTACGTGTTTCATTTATCAGAAGTACAAATTAAACCATTCGTTTCAAATGCTCCTCGTCCAGAGTTCAAACAGATCGATCAGGAAAGATTCAATTAAGGGAAAGTCCTGAATGGCAAAGGGAAAACAAATCGCACTATGCGAAGCAAGTTCTCAATTCACTCATTTTGAGTGATACCCCATAACAGGTGACAGGACACAACTACCAACATGCGCGCCCTTTTTATGTTTGCATCTCGCTGCACGCGGTAGGTCAACCCGAATAGCCACGAGCGTCGCCGCCAATGGGCGTCGCTCGCTTCCTTTCGGGGCAAGCAGAGCGGCGCCCGAGACCTACAATCGCCAGCGAGGCATCTAACCATATTGAAGCACGGACAGCTCCTTGTACGGTCGCCAGCGTAGTGGCGGCAGAGGCGAAAGAATAAGAAATTAACACGAGAGCCGGACTCAATTTCCTACCTGTACTGACTTGCCCTGCCCTGCCCTTCCGCGCAACACCCATCCCCATCGTACAATTTTCACACATCAATATTCTTATAAGAACTGGTTAGAAACAACATAATCATGAATAAGTCAAATGCGAAGTCTAAAAGTCAAATTTACTCGGCATAGTTTTAAAAAACTTTGCTTATTGACTAAAGGATGAAACACAGAACACGAGAGCGACAAACGTATAGTACCATAACGTAGCTTGACAAGAAAGTGCGCATGAGGTCATTACGTAAAATTAAATACATAACAATTAGCTGCAGAACAGCGCTACAGAAACACCATCTTCACAATTTTTTACTAGTCAAAATTATTTTCACTCTCCCATCCTCAGAATTAACTATTAATTGCCTTGAATGAAAATGTCTAGACAATTTGAAAGAAATTGGATCAGGTACGTTGACATTCAGTACCAAATGGATAAAAACATGGATACAACATTGTGTATTATTATGAATACCACTTCATTACCCCTTGGTTACTAAATACCAAACATCATAATTAAAAACTGGTAAAAAAGTGCTCAATCAAAAAGTCTCTAACTGATTTTTAATCAGGTAATTGCACAGTTTAAGAAGAAACGTATGTTCGTAGAAATAAATTAAAGTAACAGTCTTTGGTGACCAACTTCTCCATGACTGAATTTTAATGTTTATTTTAGACATAGGTAGATGATGATCTACTGCCAATGTGCGGTGAAACTTAGGAATCTACTCAGAATGCAACTACTTCTCTACCGAGTACTTCGATAGTCATGTAATGAAAATAAAAAAAAAACGAGATAAATCTGTAACACTGGTCAAAACAAAGTGCAAGTTACCACGTTTCGCGTTGAAATACGAATCTCTAGAAACAATTGAATCAGACATTTTTAAAACCCTGTAAGTCACTCTTTTTTGCATTTCGCTTTTCCGTGAAGAAAATAGAAGCTGAAAGGATAAGATGCTTCGTTCTACGTATAAATCCTATAAATCGAATTAATAGAACGGCCGTGAGGTTACTGCAAAGTTTTGTTTTTGTTTTGAAACTCTATAAATCATTGACTATCGGGTGTCCGACTATCGGTGATGTGTATATACGTATGTGTATAATATGTATGTGTGTATGTATGTGTACAGTGTGTATGGCAGATATCACTGACAGAGATTGGATTGGTTAAAAAGGGTATTCAATACGAAAATATTCAAATGTACTATTACAGAAACACCATTTAAAGCACTGTTTCTGACCCCATAAGAATCAATGTGATGTAGATACACAACATAATTTCACATAATATTGTAAAAAATATGTCAAATTAGAAACTGAATGTGTATTTATTTATATGTTAAGGTAAGAATTTCCTGATTAGCTCTTGAAATCCCATAAATCATTAACTTTTAAATAAGTCCAACGACTATTGTATTACTGATTCAAGTAAATTACACGTCTCCATAGCATTCTCAATCAAGATTTATTCATGAGAAATAAAAAAAGTAAACAGAGAAAAGTCCTCTTTGTACTTAATTATTCAGTTTTTCTTGTTTTCCCACAACTTTACACTTCCTGACAGCGAGATTTTAAAAATAATCGATTCAATTATGGTCAGACTATTCCGAAGACAGTGTATCCAAAACTGACGTGTTTTCGGACAGCATAGCAAGAACTACAGCAAATATTTAAATAGCAAAAAGCCTGTAAGGTAGGTTAAATGACAATACATTGAAAAACTGATAGCAAGGAACAAAAATAATTATGCACAATTTATTCGACTGGAGCCAAAACCTACATCAGCACGGTTCTTTAAACTTCTTACACCAGCCGGCGGGCGTATAGTAGTTAATTTAAAAAAATGGTATTACAGCTAATAGCATACGACATGTTCCACATCATACAATTTCACTTTTAACCTTCGTTCTATAACCAAACTAGTCCAATTTCGAGATTTTTGAGGAGGTACCAAAAACTCCATAGCATAGCCGTGCGTAGTAATAAATTTATGATTTTCCCCGCCTGGTATCTTTCAATGTATTTGGCCCTTTGTAAAAGAAAATGCCCTAGCAGATAGCGCCAGTTGTAGGGATTAACTTGGAGAACTATCTCAAAATAAGGAATTGTGGACTTCTTAGGTTCTTGTAAGAAAGCCCTCAACGTTTTGGAAAGCGTGTGCGAGAATCCCTTACAAAGAAGGGAAGCTAAAGCTAGAGCACCTATTTGAAAAATACAGGCCACTGGCCCACCGAGAGCCGGTGTCGCATGGGCAGGACGAAATGGTCCCTTTTGGCGTCCGGGTCAGAGCTGTGTTACGCCGGAGTTGGGACACGGCTCCAGCTGCGGCTGTGGCACCTGGGCAGAGGCAGGGGCCAAGCCGCGTCCGCTTTCACCGTCTGCCGGCGCGAAGGTGCGCGGGGCGGAGAGAAGCGGTGCCGTGCTTGCGGGAGAGCGAAACGGGCCGGGGAGGAAGCCGGCGTGGAGCCGGCCGTGGCGGGGCCGGGCGCGGGGCGGCGCGCGCGCCAAGCATGGCCTTTCTCCCGCGCTCTTTCACCGCCCGCGCACGCGAGCCTCACCCCCCACCCCCGGCCTTTCGATCGCCCTCCCTTGCGTACTCGCAGAGCGTCCCCGCGCAGGGGCGGCGCCCCCAGGGAAGCAGTCAGCAGAAGCCAGCTTCCAGAGGAGCCGGGTGCATGGCCACCATGCCACGCCGCAAAACAATTTTTAGTTGGGTAACTTTTATTTAATCAATTCCTTTAAGACCCTCTTTGAGTTATTCGTGGGGCATAGTCACAACAATAAAGATGTAAATAGGCAAATTAAGAGTCTCTCTGGTCTCCTAACGTTGATTTTTGCACAGAAGTACTTTTAAGTTGTTTGATTACCCGTCGCCTTTCAGAGCCCGCACCTCAGCCCTAAAATTCAGTATCCGTACTGGTTCCCACCACAAAGAATGCATTTCGCGCGGCGCTTAGAAAATTTCATTTTTACACTGCAAGTCAATTCCTACTTCAACATAACATGTCATCACCAAATTACTTCCTGTGAGTGTCATTCGTATTAAAATCTTATGGTTGCACAGGATTCCAAAATTCGATTATTCTTAATTCAGGTAATTCAGACTTCTAGTCTCTTTCTTTATAACTCGTTAAGTCTGTGCTATTATTTGCATTTTCTAATTTTCAGAAGACACATCACCATACACATAATTATTCTTAACATATGTCTTCATTTAAGAACATAAACGTTATCTAAGTGAACAAGTTAATACATTTGACAACTGCAGTGAGACCGATGCCGGAATTCCCAACTTCATTAATAACGTTTTCAATGACGTTCAGTTTCATTATCCATGACTTACTTGCCTGTTTCACTGCAGCTTTTAACTCTCCTTCCTCCATAACGGGTTCTACGGAGATGTTGGATGTTTCATCATGAGAACTATTCCTTTTCATTCATGTGACACGAGACAAACGATACATGACCAACCACATAGCACACACCATTCACAAAAACTTTTATTATTCCAAAATGCATAGAACACACACGCGCAATTTTCACTCTGAATGGAACTAACGAGAATTCTACGGAGTTTTCTACGCCATAAGAATTACCACCGCCACGCCGCGCTCGTCACGAGCTATCAATGCCGTTGCACCGGCACGTTGTTTGTCGCCGCTCGCCCCCGAGCTCCCAGTGCGAATAATGGAATACGCGGACGGGACGGGCAGTCGGGAGGCGTATTCCGCCCAGCCGTTGCGCGCCCCGCGCCCCTCGCACGTGACGCCCATGCGGCTATTGTTCCGATTGCTCCCTGGGACCGGTTCTCCGGCGCGGGCGCCGCTGCCTCAGTGGCCCAAATGGCCAGGGCACCGGGCTGAGGCGGCGGCGCCCCAAACAGCGAGTTCTTTCGCGCGACTTAAACAATTCTCACTTGCACCCTCTTCGGCGCATTGGTCTACACACATACATTGCCACGGGAAGAGAAAAAGAGGTGTAGAAGTGAGGTACCTGATGTGCATGTACTCAAATTGCTCCTTTTTAAGGGTAGGAGATTTTTTTCTGTAAGTCAACCTTATCTGAATGTATTTAGTTGTTTGCCTATCGTCAGATAAAAATACAGCATGCCCCTTAACAAACGTATTTACTTATGTAAAGTAAAATCAACAAATTCTCTCCTCGCCTTTGTCTCACTATGACTTTCGAGACTTAAAAGAAAGATGTAGTAAGAAATGCTTCTTGCATGTTCATTTTATTTTGTATAGTTCATGTTTTGTTATAAATGACGATTTTTCTTCTTTTTTTTATTTCTATAAGAAATATTTGCGAATACATTCTGCAAATCTTGGTTATCACTTTCGTGCCATATCGTTACTACTAGCTTTTAAAAATTAGATACGTAGTAATTTCTTTTTTTTGCCATTTCACACAAAGCCAATTCACCGCCCCATGAAAATTATACTCCAATGAAGTGCGCTATGAAGATAATCAAAAGTGGTTCGTCTGGTGACACTATGTGGAAGCAATCCAAGGCAGAGCAAGCACCCTTCATACGCGCTGCATGCATTACTCTAGCTTCGTACGAGGGCAATGCTTCCCCTGAAGCACACCGAAGCAACCTACTGACGCACAAGTAGCCCCGGGCAACAGGAAGTGGAAAGCAGATGGCAGTTATAACGAAAGCAGGAATATACATATTCCATGTCCATGTACCTTTCATCTGAGGAGCAACAAATTAAAACGTTTAAACACTACCACACAATATAATGCGTAGTATTAAAGTAGTCGTGTTACAGTATTTAACATTGAGGTGATAATGAAAATTTCCCAATTAATTAAATAAACTAATATGCTTTGATTTGACTTATCTCCGATCTTCAGAACGTTTCAGCACTATATTATTAAGACTTCGCTTCAAACTAAATGCAAATTAACTGAGTGAATTAATTCTGATTTGCGTCGCTCCTTCTCGTAATACAGAATGATGTGCAAATTTTATCTACAATATTACACTTCAAAGAAACAAATGAATTTCACATTTAAGCTTGAAATACCTCAAGAAAATAAAATAGAAATCTATACGCGTTTTCTATACTTGGATTCTCAAAAGTTATAATATTTACATTTCTCAGTTTCTTGACATCCACAACTTTCAATTTCCAGAAAGACATTAGTACATGACTTCTGAGGAGTGAGAGACAGACAAATGGGAAAGAAGTCTAAGCATTTCCAGCAACATTTTGTATTAATTTTCATCTTCACTAATTACTCTTTATGTGCTCCAATGTAGATAGACAAGTAATTCAGAATGCATACATAATTTATATAGGGGCCGACAATAAATTACCTAGCACAAATGTGAAGAATTTTGAATACGCCTTCTCTATCCTGTAACCCTCCTAAATAATTACGTAACGCTTGCAATTACCCTTCCCCATTAACAATAAGCAAAAGTGAAATACACAACAGTAAAAAAAATTTGTATTAATTTTATTCGATTAATTTATTGTTCTATTTATATAAAGATAAAGGAGAGTGCAGTGTAGTGTAGTGAAGTGTTGGATGAACTAGAAGTCAAGTTAGAGATGACTAGAAATTAATTAAAACTAGGATATCAACCTATAATTCTAATTGTAATCATGTTTACCACCAAGCATTAGCTCAAAGCAAACTTTAATAAATGTATTTATCTATATGTATTGCATTATCAAAATTTATGATAATTAAAGTCAGAATTATCTGTTGATGCTGACTGCACTTCACTATAATATTGAAGTTTATTTTTGAGCGAAAGAAGAGGGCATGGGTGAGAAAATTTCTGCCAAGCCGTGCACGTCGTCAATGATGACGAATGGGCGAGCATTTACTGCTGAAATGAAATTGGATACTCGAAAGTTCTATAGATTACTTTTGAATATTTTCTTCATGATCTTTCAGATTCAATTTGACAAAAAATATTTATTGTAACAATATACATAACGTGTTAATTTATTTATGTTAAAATTAATATAATTTCGTCATAAAACTGCAAGGCTATGTATTACAAAATGTTTCTTAAGACTGCAAGGCATTACATTCGCACCTGGTCACAGACATAATTTCTGTATATTGGGGAGTAAATTACTCATTATTGGAACTAGTTAATGCTTTTTTTTTACTTCCGAAAAAAATCGCTAGGTGCATTTCACACTTCAATGAATGAGCTTAAGAACACGACCAAAAGATAACATGCATTAATCTTTTGTAAACGTCTAAGTTCTCACAATTTGCAGTTCGTAGTATTACATTCAAAAAAAGTTTCTCTTCGTTAGATCCCTTTCTCCGACGAAAACTTAAGTGGATTTATTTAAAAAGTACTGACAGATTCGTTAACAGCGTAGGGGGTGGAAAAACAGGGGTTTGTATAATAACATCCTACATGAAACACTACAGTACAAACTCTAAACATTTCAGGCTCAGTCTGTTCTAATCCTTAATTCCTGTAGTTTTTATTTGTTATAAAAATGTTCTTCTTACAGTTGCACGCATGTCATTGCGACCACACGTCAGATTTCTTATAATATATTGTTTCTAAATTCGAAATTATACTGTGGGAGAAATTCTAACTTTTCCATTAGCATTCCTATGATCGTATTTTAGAAGAATGTGAAGAATACTTACTACTTACTCTACAATGCCCATATTCAGGGGCTGTTGCTTTACGTGGGGGCAAGAATGTGCTTCTGAAAAGACCCGGTTCCTCATCAGGCAAATACAATTTCGCTTTTAATCTTGGCTATGTATTTCTACAATTTGTTGCCATTATTTATAACAGCTGCAAACAGAGATGGAACCCTTTTCTTTACCTTTGGGCTACTTATGCATGACCATTTCAATGTGTTCTACCATTAGATTTCCACGTACTCCAAACATTTTTCCTCTACATCTTTGTCCAGCCTTCCTATCGTTTCTGAAGATAGCATTTCCCTACAGCTATACGTTAACAATAGTCAAATTAGTAATCTTTCAAATTTGGTGCGAGTCTTTATTTCTTTATTTATTTCAAAGAAGAAATCACAGCATGTAGTAGTCCATAAAACATTATTGGTTTTTTGGTTTGGTCAGTGAAATCAGTCATCTGAGCAGACTGAAGCAGATGTGAACTGAATAATGATCAATACGATCAAGTCAAAGTCTCTTCTTTGAATCTATTTTCCTACGACCGTATTTCACAAACTCTCAAATGTAATCCACACACATGTGAGAACTTATCTTATGGTCCCAGTTAGAACACAAACGGTTTGTCAACGTTTGGAACAACGGAGAAAAGGAGAAAGAAGTGGAAATAATTCCAATTCTCTGTGATCTTTAATAATTAAAGATAATACGTATTACTAAATTTCTATCACTCACTTGAACAACAGAATACTAGTTACTTTTGTTTCCGCATTCTTTTCGTCTACGCCGTCTTGCAAAAAATACACTGCACGTTCGAATTCCCAGAGTATTTGCTTTAATTGTGACTCTTGGACGACATCTTATTCCTACCATTGGTTATAGAAAGTTGTCTACCTTAACAAATGGGTTGCGTTTAGTACGCCCGATTCCGCATTCTGTTAATCTTTATGAGCCCAACACACATTTATGAGCAAACAAAATTCCTCAGTCTGTGAAAGCTCTTCCAGAGAGCGCACTCTCCCAAAGCTGGATGCGAACCAGGGGCTCCCGCGGGGAGCGCGGAGACTTTCTAGCACGCAGCCCTCGGCGTCGCAGCCACCGGAGCCGCCGCCCCCACTTTCACGAACGGAAATCGAGAGTTCCCCTGGCCGAGGCCGCCGCCCGCGGGTGGTTGCTCGGACGGCGCAGCGCGCCACCTACCCCGCGACCGACTGACCCTCCGCCGACGCCCCGCAACCGGTTCAGACGCTCTCGGAGGGCGGCGCAACAGGCGCGCGTCAACGGACGTCGACGCAATGGTGAAGTGCCCCCAGCCAAGATGGCGCTCGCCACTCCAACGCACGCGGCGCGGTGGTCTCAAGAGCGGGATAGGGCCGCGCAGGCCGCCGCGATGACAGCGAACGGAGCGAGAGGACACGAGAAAACTCGCGCTCGGGCGGCGCGCTGTCGGCCAGTGGCGGATGCACACTTTCCACGTCTCTTGGCGCGAGCTGTGGCGGCGGTGGCGGCGGCGAGGCCAGCGGGCAGCGGGTCCCGCGGTGGCCAACCGCCGCCGCCGTCGCAGCGCGCCGTGCGTCGCCGCCGCCGCCGCCGCCCTCTGCTGCCGTGCCCCGCGCGGCACGACCATATGTTGGGCCGCCTTACTCGGACAGGGGAGCCCTTCAGCAGCGGGTTGCCGCCCACATCCAGGTAGCGGCCCGTGATCGGAGGGGGCGGCCGCATTGGCGCCTAGCTGCGCCGGCGCCCGGGCTCGGGCGCGAGCGTCGGGCAGCAGCGGGCGCTGGCCGCGCGGGGGCGGGCGCCCGCGCTTTTGGAGACATGCAATGGGGCCGCGCACCCGGCTCTTGCCGGCGCACGCGCGCGCGGACGCCTCGCTCAGGGGCGTGGACGCGCCGACACGGGGCTCGCACTCTCTGCTCGCTCCACACCTCTGCACTGGCAGCACGCACTTCACTAGTTCACTCCACTGGCACTGGGATATCAGCAACGGACGAGGCACTGACACGAACTTGCACTGGAACTCGCACTGGAGCATTCGCCGGCCAGACGGCGGCTTGGGGGCCGTTGCGTGGCGGGAACGGCGGGCCCAACGCGCGCGAAGAAGCGAGGCGAGACGCCGCGGCGCGGCGCGCCCGGCGGTGTGCGCGAAGCGGAGCGCAAGGCAGCAGGCGCGCGCATCAGCCGCTCGCTCGCTCTCCCGCCGCCCGCGCCGCCGCCGTCGCCGCGCGCGTCGCGCCCCGCCGCTGCTGGCCTTGCATCCACCGGCGGCGCTGCGCGCCGCGCTCGTCGGTCCTTACGGCTGCCTGTTGGCGGCGACACTGCCGGCCCCGCCGCCTCGCGTTCTCGGCCCAAAACCGCCTAAGGCGCCGCGCCGGACGTGACGCCTCAATTTCGTCAGCGGTGGACGCATCCGGCCCGGCTGGGCAACCTCCAATGACGGGTTCATTTCCCCGCCGTCTCGCGCACCCCGCGCAGGCGGCTATTAGCTCCCCGCAGCCTGCACCGCCCACGCGCCCTCCCATCAACCGCGCCTCGCGGGCGCCCGCCCCTCAGATCACATCAATTTACCACTCCCCTCCCACTATTCAATTTACTTCGTTCCAGCAATACGATTCATTTTCGCTCTCCTCGAGGGCGAAATGGGTCATTGGCACCTTCGATCAGAGAACTTCCATTCACGAGGAAAGAACGACAGTTCCGTGGCAACAGCACGCACCAAAGGGCAGAGGCTGCGCTCCCGGGCGGCGGCCTTGTGCCAGACCCGCAGGGCGTACCCGACGGTCATCCGGGCGCGGAGATACCCACCCCATCCGCGCCCGCCCCTGCATGTACAGCGCCCCGCGGGTTGCGCGCGCTGGCCGCAGAGAAAGCCGCAGCGCCGCGCAGTCACAGCCGCGTGCGCGAGCGAGGGCGCTTTCGAAACGTAGCCGTGTCGCCATCGCCACCACAACGCGGGCCAGAGGCTCCGCGACGCCAGGCGCTGAAGGCGGCAACGGAGGCGGTGACTAGACCCGCGTGCCTGCGTGGCATGCGTGCCGTGACCTTGCATCCGCGCGCCTCCGCCGCCTAACAGGCGAGGGGCGTGCGCCATCGCGCCACTACCCCTTCCCTTCGCCAGGCATACACAGACTTGCTGCCCCCCCCCCGTCCACGTATTGCCCCCCACGAGTCTAAAGAAAGTGGGAAGGCAGGACGAAGAGTAGATACAAATTCATAAAAAATGAAGACACTCCATACGCACGCACTTGTACTCGCGCGCCTGGGCCGAGGTACTCACGCGGGGTGCGGGTGCCGGCCGGCGGGCCGACCCGCGGCGCCGTCCATCCGCGCTGCGCGGCTCCTGTAACAACAGACAACAACGCACCCTCAGCTCCCGCCCACCGCCCTTGAGCGCGCGTCCACCGCGCTTCCGCGTCGCGCCCGCCCCCGCCGCCAGCGCCG